ATGAGAGGGGAGAGGCAGGAGAGTGCGTGGAGGGGAGTAGAGTGAGATGGGAGGGGAGAGGTAGGAGAGTGCGTGGAGGGGAGTAGAGTGAGATGAGAGGGGAGAGGGAGGATAGTGCGTGGAGGGGAGTGGAGTGAGATGAGAGGGGAGAGGGAGGAGAGTGCGTGGAGGGGAGTAGAGTGAGATGAGAAGGGAGAGGGAGGAGAGTGCGTGGAGGAGAGTAGAGTGAGATGAGAGGGGAGCGCGTGGAGGGGAGTAGAGTGAGATGAGAGGGGAGCGCGTGGAGGGGAGTAGAGTGAGATGAGAGGGGAGCGTGTGGAGGGGAGTAGAGTGAGATGAGAGGGGAGAGATAGAGCGCATGGAGGGGAGGGGTAGGCAGGCGCTTTGTCCCTTGTTATTTTTGCCCTCAATGTATTTATTTGTTGTAATACTTGGCGTCATCTTTATCTTCAGTCATTATGTTTGCTTGTTTTGATAATAATTGGCTCGGACCGCCTTGTGCCGTTGTTATCTAAGACTCGTGCGCGTGTGCGTGTTGGCGTACACAATCGTTGATGTCCTTGCGGTTTGTATTCCCCTGGCCACGACGTGAGATGTTGATCCACGTTTCCCCGACACGAGCCGAGCTGGCCCAGCACTGGCCCCTGCCGTGAGCGAGAGCGTTGGCAGCCCGGAGAAATCTAAAAACACAGCGGGGACAGCAAAAAAACACCGTGCTTCGTGAGCACAGGAGACACGCACAGTGGCTGTTTGGCAGCAGGTAGCGATTCAGGCTCACGGGTTTGATTCGAGCATTCACTCTCATTTTAAAATTCTGGTGAGTGTTGCAGACAAAGTTTGAGTCTCAAAATTCTGATTTTAAAGATTCTGACTTGTGGCTGCAGGGGTCACGCTTTGGTACACGATACGATGCGTGAATTGATCATCGTTTACCCACTGAGTCTCAGGACTCTTTTCCAGGAGGATCCTGCCAAGTAGGAGGCAATGTTGCTGCTGCTGCTGTGTGTGATCCCAATCGAGTAATTTTTCAGGCTATTTTTTTCAGCATCGGTACATTTACGCAAAATAAATTTACATTGCATGTTTTTTTTGTTTGTTTTAGCAGAAGGGGGGAAGAGAATAACAACCTCCTCACAGAATAGCGCCCGAGTGGGCCATAGACAGAGGTAGAGAAGGAAAGTCACGAGCCTGAACTTGAACAGTGACAGGGAGCCAATGGCACAAATTTCTGGGGGAGTGACTTCCAGACTGCGGGGGAGGGGGGGCGGGCAGAAGGTAATGTCTGTTTTGTTTTTGAAAAGCCAAGACATATGTTCCCGGTAGCGAACAGGACCTTTAAAAGATGTGTTCTTGGCTTGTGCGTGCGGGGCCAGAGCTCGGCTCACTGTCCTCCTGGCGGGGCCTCGTTATGTGATCTGCACGCAGCACCACGTTTATGGCGCCGCGAACTCGGCCACGGACGGTGACATCGCACCGCCGCCAGGAATTCGCCGGGAATAAGGTCTTTGGGCCCCCAATATTCATCGGGCGCGAGAAGTTAGATACAAATGGGCATCAGGGCCGCGCTGATAAACGAACGCACACTCCCCCGCGCGCGCTCAGATAACACGGAGACGCGTGAGAGCCGCACCGTTCGTAGATTGACGGATAGGCGGGTAGCATGACACAGGTTTGACAGTCACTGACTTGCTGCCCAATGGCGACTCGTGCTCTCTCTCTGTGCGTGCTTTATATCGGCACAGAGAGCACAACTCTAAGCCTGAAGAGATTGTCTCTTGCCCAGGCTATGAGATGGAGCACACTTAACTCTTCCCACGCACGCTCCACGTGTTGTCTCTTGCTAGCGGGTGAATACAGCGGCACGCCGGGGGCTACGCTGCCGCACGTGGATTGTAATGCAGCACTGTGGAGGCAGCAGCAGCGAGGTTTGGTGGTTCGCCGCACACAGATGATGTTTGTGAAACTCCCTTCCCGTGGGCGTCGAGGAGATGCCGTACCCTGGCTCGCCAGGAGAGGCAGGACAGCAAGTGTGGACTAATCGCCATCTGTTTCTATCTGTATGGGCATGGAGCCCCCTCGCGCACGGTGTGGGTTTTCTCCGGGTGCTCCGGTTCCCTCCCACGTGTATATAATAAACACAAGTCGTCACTGATTGGCTAAGAACCTCTCACAATAAACGTGGCAACAGCAGCAGGACCCTCCTGAGTCCTGGGACTGTGTGGCTCTCCTGGATAAATAAATATATATTGGTATCATGGGCTGGAGCGGTGGTGCAGCGGTTACCACAATGTGCTGTCCAAACTGCGACGACCCGAGTTTGATTCCCGGCCATGGTACTTGCGTCCCGCTGCATCCTTCATCAACTCGTGGCGAAGTATGGTCAAACAACCCCTTTGATGGCGACACGACATTGAGAGGCCTTTGATCGGCAGTGGAGCGACATGGGGCTGTGAATATTTTTATCGTTAATATAGTTTTCAATGTAATTCTGTTGGCATCGTGCGATCCTGCAAAGCGTCTGACCCGATTCTCTGTCTGCGATGGTCGCGTTTTGGCAAGCTGTATGACTCACAGTACTGCCGTCAAGCACTTCTGGGCGATTCTGTGTTTTGTTAAAAGCTGCATTTGAAAGGTTTCCATATCCGTTCTATTTTGAGGCATGAGCTCAAATATCTCCAATGCGGCCGAGGGCGCTTCCTGGAGGTCAGCTGGCTGACAACCATCGCGGCGTAGATCTCAGCAATAGCCAGAGATAAACAGGCTCTGGGTTGGATGAATGACGGAACAACATTTGAGATGATTGACATTTTAACTATTTGTTCTGGGGCAACCCCAAAAATAACTCCCAATAATCGCGGATGCAGGAAAAGAAAAAAACATTCGGCGCGAACTCTTTCGATCGAGCCACGCTGATTTCTGAATCAACATCCAAGGGAGTTTTTTTCTAAGACGAGGCCTCTCGTTCATCGACGAGGCCTCTCACTTTGTGAAAGGTTCCCCGTGGCCCCTCCCAAGGCGAAGTTGTCGTTGCAGTATTCACAATCGTGTTTGTTTTGGTGTCTTGTCGTGTTACCCACAAAATTAATTTGGCGGTCCGCCTTTGCACACTGAAGCGAAGGGGAGGGGAAAAAACCCTCCAAACCCTCCACACATCGCAGAGAGGAACAGCGCTGCCGCTGTCGTGAGCGCAACTCAGAGTGGCCGCCAACTCGTAAAGGTCACGGAGTCACAGCAATCCGCTGCGTAACAGACTTGAACCAGTGGTGAAAATTCCACATTCCCGTGAAGGGGATGAATCAATCTTAGGTGGCCGACTGCTGTTGATATCCCACAGAGTTCTCATTTTGGTGATGCTCAGCCACGATGAATCCACTGTTGGATGGATTATGGCATAAGTACGTAACACGGCTCAAGATGTGCTACTTTCCATACTCTGAAGCTGTTTAATGTTCGGATCGTATCTGGCCAGTGTCTGTAACCAAGTCGCCAGGAATGTGCCTGATTCCGTGAGATCTCGGAAACTAAGCAGGTATGCATCTGGACAGCGTTTGGATGGGTGCATAACAGGTGCTGTAGGCTGCCACAGGTGTTCTACGTGGCAGGCAGCAGGGGACAGCGCAGGGTGATCTGTCGTTGTGCTGTACCTCTGTGCTCCCCGCTTTCAGTAACCAAGCGCGGCGACGTTCGACGCGACAACCACAGCGACCCGTGCGGCGGTTGCGATTCAGGCCCTCATCCAGAAGTAGATTAGGAAAGGCGGCCGCGTATGTGCGAGCGTACCTTCGCTTGCGTAACGCGGCCGCACGGTGAGGCGCCAGCGTCGCGTGACGCTCGCGCGATCGAAGTGCGGCGGCGGAAGCCGCTCCGGTCGGGGCTCGGCACAACCCGCCCTTGGGAGCCCCGCCGGCTCCGGCCTCGTTTATCTTGCTCTCTCAATTCCCCTCTCCATTCTCCCCTTTTAGCAAAAACGTCGCCGAGCAAAACGCAGGAAATTAATAAACAAGCAGCGGTTACTCCGTGGGCAACGTGGCAGCACGTGTGGGTTGTGCCACGTCCTGATTCCTGGCCATCTTAGCTGTCAGTCGTGCTCGCTGCCTATGGTACAATACACTGCCAGCACAGCAACAACAATAATGATGGTTAAGTACAGCTGTGTATCAGTATCAGTCTACTGCTGGACGAAGGCCATCGTGCACGAGAATTGAATTTGCGGTTTGTGGGAACGATTTTTCACTCGTCACGCCACTAGAAGTGGTGGTGGCCGATTGCCGAGGCTAACGAGAAAGCGCACGCCGTGGAGGTCGGGCGATGAATTCGGCTCGTCGAAGTGTGGCCAGGGTTGCCGCCACTCCTGGCTCGTCCTGGGAGATCTGTAAGTCTTCCCGGGCACGTTAGAATTCTTGGTGTTTTGACTGTCGCGTGATAATCCACAGGCTCGAGACAACGCGATTTTACACGGTGACAAATTATTCGGTGGTGGTGCTGCTGCTTCGGCAGTGGTGCACAGACACTAACAGCAACAACAAACTCGACACATTCATTAAAAATACTGCCTAACCCCTCGTGTACTCTGAAGAAGGGCCTGCTATATATGCGTCTCCTTGTAAGGCCGCGGTGTTATTGACGAACGTGTTGAGTTCTATATCTTGCTGATCTCGTCAAGGAGCGTAAACCATCATCACGTGAACTCTCGTCATCCTCGCACCAGCGGCTTTCGGCTCAGCCATCGAACATAGACGGTCACCGCATCACACGCGCTTTCATATACGCTTCTGCTGCCGTCTGGAACGCTCTTCCGATATTAGGAAGAACTGTGTTTAGTTTGTTGTCTCCCCCTCCACACCTCCGATTAGCAAGTTTGGCTACGTACGGTGCGAAAGAAGTTCAACGCACGGGTACGGTGTCATTCGTGACGTAGTTCTGCCCACGGTATTGCGAGGTGCCCACCGTAACCACAGCCCCCTGCCTGTGTGCGTTGGCGCTGGCGGCGCGCGGTGCAGATGGTGAGGATGACGTGGAGTGGGACATGCGGGCAACCCGCCCGGACTCCCTAGAGGACTGCCCCTCCCCCAACAGCGCATTACCCCGGCGCCCGCGTGGACGCCCGGCCAAGAAGAAGTCGAGCGAGCGCAAGCACCAGCAGCAGCAGCACCAGCAGCAGCAGCAGCACCAGCAGCAGCACCAGCAGCACCAGCAGCAGCACCAGCAGCAGCCGCAGCAGCACCAGCATCGCGGAGAGCCGGTGAGTGCGGTGCCTGATGCGCGAGCGTGCGTGTCTCTTTGTGTCCGCGTGTGTGTAGCTCACAGGCGCTCGCTAATAGTACTCGCCCCTACGGTCTGTTAGGGCTACACCGGGGATCTTTGTCTTTGTTCTAGCTCACAACAACGAGCGGCGCGCTGGGCTGCTAAAATACAGCAAGTTGGCATAGTAGGGGGCACAGGTGGTGCATCTGCCAGTCATCTCAGTCAGTCAACCCATGGCACCTGGGTCTGTCCAGGGATCTCCTGTTAGCGAGCCTTCGATACTTTGCTTGGCCTCGGAGTGCCCCTGGCTTGGCACAAGCACTGTGGTGATGTCACTGACACTTAGAGGTGAATGGCGACTCTTGCTGTTGTTGTTGTAGGTGAGGAGCGGTCGTGTAGTGGTTAGCGCGCTGTACTACGAACCAGGTGACCCGAGTTCAATCTCCACTCGCATTGGCGATGAGCAATTTAACCAGTTCTGGACTTACCCCAAGGTCGACTCAGCCTTAAATGAGCACCTCGTGCGGTGTGTAAACATCACCTAGACAAAGGCAGCTGGGCGCGGTACCGGCCACACCAGCTCACACGTGCCGCGTTGCGCTCGCTGGCGGCACTCGCCGCGCGAGTCTATTAGAGGCAACACGGAGGATCTTTGTAGTTTTCACGTGAGCACGGAAGCATTTATTTTCTGCGGCGGGGCCGAGCCGATGGCGCCTGCTCGGTGGCTCAGGCGTGTTAACCTGCAGGCGATTTGCAGGTCAGGGAGTGAAAGGTGGGGGGGGGGTGCTGCCGAGGAATGTTAAGCTCTCCGGGTTAGATTTTTGTTTTACACCTGCGGAGTTATCAAAAGGGCCAGACGCCCGACAGGTGAACCGCCCGGCGCGTGCCCACGGAAGTGCCGCTGTCGGCGTGTTCTTTTCAATCAATCAACGCCAGGTACCCCGCGAACTCATCCCCCCCACACCCCATTCCCGCCGGACAGCAACATTGCCCCTGGGTTGAGCTGCCTGGCTTCTCGCACAAAGTGCCCTCGCGGGGGCAGCTAGCGCAACTCACCGCTGACTTAAGCCCCACGGAGCAGCGGTGGCGCTGGGCGTGGAGGGAACCAAGCAAAGGTTTAGGGCCACAAGCAGCTGAAGGGCGCCCTTGAGCCACTCGGCGAGTGCGCGCACGGGACACAATTGCGAGCGGCGGACGTTTATTGGAGGCTGGCCGGTCCCAGGCCGCTCCCGGCCAACGGCAGTGACGATTATCTGTAAACCGGTCCTGGGCCTTCGTTACGTGGAATCAGCCACAAATAACAACCTATTGCGGTGTGTAAACATTGCCACTTGGGAGACAAAGGCGGCCGGGCGTGGTGCTGGACACCCACACCCTCGTATACCGTGCCGGCCTTCATAGGTGCTGCTGGCTAACAGCACTTGCCCCAACAGTCTGTTAAGGCCATACTGGGGATCTTTGTCTGTGTATCTGTACAGTGGTTGGCGTTATGCTACCATCAGTGATAAATGAACTAACCGACCCTCAGTGCTGCCTTCACTGACCCGTAGTGACCGGCGTGGTGAAGTAAGGTTAAACAACACCCGCCAATGGCAATGTGTGCGAAGGGCTTCATCCAGCGGTGGACATGAAATCTTCAAGCAGAGGTGATTGCCTGGGGAGGCAGAATGCCGGGCAGGATGTTTGGGTAGACGCCTCTTCACGGTATCATCAGGGGCCATTCCACCTCGATGCATTAATCAGAAGGCGCCGTGAGATAAATTGTAAATTAGGAGTTTCCATTGCGATTCGGATTACACAGTAACGAGCGTGTCGTGAACTTAGCCCTAATCACGCTGCTCGCGACCGCTCATTGCAGAGCGTGCACGCGAAAATGTTTACCCGCGAGCGTCGTGCGTTTTGTGTAACGTTGCCGTCGCGAACACACTCATAGTGATTCACTTTCTTTTTTCAAGGCTGTCCCGCTGACCTTAATCAACGGCGGTTATGTGCACATTGAGTGCAAGCTGTCGCGTGCGTGTGTGTGTTCCCGCGCGTTACCACACGCACGGTCGTTTGTTGTGCCTGGCCATGTGGTTCCACGCTCGGTCCAAACCACAAAAGTGGTTTGGACCGAGGGCTGACCACTTCTTTTGTGGTTCAGGGTTTCGTGGTCCGATGTCGAAGAATATTTTTTTTAATGCGTGTGTATAGAATTACGAGAAACTGATAGTGGGGATTGCCCAGTTTATAGCAGCTGCAGTATCGCATGCTTTCAAAAAGTGGCCCAAATTTTTTATTCGTGATAAAATTCAACAACCACCTCAAGATGTAAAATGCGTAAGCCTCGTTTAAAAAAAACATTTCCTTAAAATTTTGTGAGGCCCAAAAAAATATAAATTTCGTTTTTTTTACTTTCAAATCTGATGTCATATTTACATGTAGTGCCCTTCAACACCTCAGGTAATCAACTTTCATAGACCCAGGCTCCATAAAAAAAAGTTTTTCGAGTTGCCAGATTTAATCTACAAAGAACTTCTAGAACATAATTACACATTAGAATCATATCAGTCTCATTCCCTCACTCATGCATAATGTCAATGTATATTTGCCACATACAGCATTGACTCAAAGATCCCCATATAGCCCTAACAGCACAGATACACAAAATACAAAAATATCTGTGAGCGAGTACCCACGAAGGCAGGCATGACACATGAGGGGGCAAGTGGCCTGCACCACGCCTGGCCGCATATACCTCCCAAGTGGCGATGTTTACACACTGCACCAGGTACTCATTTGAGGTTCAGTCGACCTAGGGGAGGTCCCGAACTGGTATAATCGTAACTGGTGTTGGAAGTCAGTGGGAATCAAACTCGGGTCGCCGGTTCACTCACCGCTGCGCTACCGCTCCCCACGCACACACAGCTACGCACCTACACGCACACACAGCTACGCACCTACACAGACGCACAGCTACGCACCTACACACACGCACAGCTACGCACCTACACAGACGCACATGCACCTTGTGCGCACGGTGCGTGTGCGCGCTTATTGGCTATTTACCTCTTGGGCACGGCCACGCCTCGGCCGTCACACTTTATTTACGTGGCGTGGGCCAAAGTGGCTTTAACGAGGAGATCGATGGCCAGAGCTGGGAAGGGGGCAAGCACGGCCTGATGACCAACACGTGTGAGCTGTTACACGAGGGGTGCGGGGGGGGGGCCTGGGACGATGGTAGAGGGGTCTGGAGGCTGTCGAGTGCAGGCCGCGCTTCTGATTCGCCACGCAGAGCCGGCCCCGTAACGTTCGCACGTTTTTCTCGTCAAAAAATGTTCCGCCGCGCACCGCACACACACAAAAAAAATACCCACTGCGAACAATCTCGAGTTACAGCATTTGTGTCCATAATCGCACGGGCCCAGTAGGCCTCTGGTGGGGTAGCACCAAAAAAAAACATTCTTTTCAAGGGAGGAGATAGAGTGAAATGTTTTAATAATAAGTTCTGCCAGTCTCTCAGGGCGCCTCGGACGAGCTGCCTCCTCCGGCTGCCACCGCTGCTGCTTCGTTTGAAGTCACGATGGCGGGCGCTGTTGGCGAGCGGCGAGGGCACGGACGCTGTCGAACCGCGTGCCCAGCGTGTCCGTGCCCCGTGTGCCCGCGTGTCCATGTCCAGCGCGCAGAGGCCCTGCTTGTCTATTTCAAACTAAACCAAAAATATTACATCTGACACCGTTACGTCAAAGATTGCAGTACGGCCCCCCCCCCCCCCCCCCCCAAAGCGCGGGGCCCGGGGCGGTTGCCCCGATTCACCGTGACTCTGTGTTACGCTCACATGCACAAGCGTACCCGCAAACTAGAAGTGACTGTGCACGTACGAGGCTAATGGGGAAAAGGTCTCAGTTTAAAGGGCATGGAAGTAAGAAAAAAATCCCCAAATTGAGCACCAATCATTTTTATCGAATATCTATAGGCTGTGAGATGTTATAGGGTTTTTTTTTACGTTCTAGGAATCATAAAAAAAAATTCCGTGCAAATTTTTTTTTTGCTCATGGAAAATGTGCTTCCTTATCTGATGCTCACAGGAAGGGAACAGTATCTGAGTGGGAGTTGACTGTAAACGTCCACGCAAGTCGCTGAGCTCATGTATCGCAGAAACGTCTCGCCGTGCTGTCGAGCGCCTTCGCCAATCTGCTGCCGTTCCCTCCACAGGGGCAACAGCAGCTGATGAGACGGCAACGATCATTGACCGTAGTAGGAAAAGAAAAAAAAACTCCACGCGTGGAAATCACACCCACTCACAGCGAGCCCCAAATGGAAATGAGACTCACTGTACGGTGACTTTGTTTTGACATTGAAGCAGCACCGGTTTTTTTTATGCCATAAATACACGCACACAGGCACACGCGCCGTATATTTATCGCATCGCAGCATCGTGGAGAGGTGGCGGTGGCGGCGGCTTGGGGAGGCATTCGTCCAGCAGTGGATGGATCATGGCTATGGTTTTTTTCATTACTGATGATGATGACACTGCATGTGTGTACAGGACGTAAATACGCATTGACAGTTCGCTGTATTTACTGGGTCACTATGTCAGGGTGGGGTGGAGCGGTGGGGTGGTGTTCAGATCATTGCGATACAAATCCGGTGATCTGAGTTCAAATCCTAGCCAGGGCTCCACCCACACCGAGCAGTGTGGTGAAGTATTGGCAAACAAGTAATGCACTTTAAGTTTAACACGCATTGTAAATGCTGTGGCTTGGCTCTCCAACACACCGGTGTGCTGTACTAGTGACGAATTGGCCACGTTCTGTTTACGTGACAACCCGTACTAGTTGGCTGTGTCGGGTTTTAACGACACATATATTTACACGATCTAACCCAACAAACCTCTATTATGGAAGCAATACACTGTCTAATGGCTGTAGATAATATTTTGTAAGTATTATAATTGTTATTGTCGATAAATCATCATTATCAGTTATGATCTATCCTCTGTTGATCCACACATAAACATTGCCTGTGGCTCTGTAAACACTTATGTGTACGGACTAGTAACAGCTCCAGTACGTGCCGGTGAAACTTCCAGACGGCGTATTTTGGAAAATACTGCAGGAAAGCAACGTTCCCAAAAATGGCTCTCGTTCAGAATGCAAGAACGGAGTGGCCGACACTGGCCTCTGTGGCACAGGCGTGCACGGCACGCCAAACGTACCCTGCACGCCAAACGTACCCTGTACGCATTCGAGAGCGTGTCCACTGCTCGTCTTAAAAGGAATCCTCACCCGTCGGAATGCTCGGGGGTGATGCAAATGAGAAATCGTCCCGGTGTTACAAATGGTGACGTGCACGCCGGTTTACATCAGTGTTCCCAGGAGCCGAAGTGTCCGCCCGTGAGTCTTGAGGCCGGGACAGTACAAAGCCCCTCATTGTACGCACGCTCGCAGCTTGTCCGCTCCTCTGATATAGCTCACGCGTCACAGTAAAGGGTCGCCACCTTCTATTTTAACAATATGTGGACACAGATCAGCATAGAAGCCTTGTTGCTGAAAACAACACAAAAAAATCAATATCCTGGCGTATACGTGTTTGTAACAACGGCGTAAAATCCCGCGGGCTGTTTGAATCGTCAAACTATACGGGAAGAGGATGTCCAACACCGGGGATGGAGGGGATTCGCAGGTGCCAGGTGGTGGCGGTGGCGGCGGCTTTGGGGAGACCTTCAACCAGCAGTGGATCGACCATGGCTGGCGATGGAGATGGTTGAATACGCTGGTGTGCGGTGTGCTCGTTACGTTTGACATTGGCAGCGTCTGCGCTGATTATGAACGGGTGGCAACCCTACATCACCGCAACAAAATACATGAACGGGCAATACGCCTCCTCCCAGCATTTGTCACTCCCCATAAAAAATATAAAAGTAGTTTTTTTACACATTCCATCAGCCTTGTGAGAGTGATTTTTTTTTGTTTCCTGGCAGGATTTGTTTAAAACGAGCAAAACTCTGGACCGGTTTCGACATTCAGTTTCTCATCGGTCGAGCCAGGCTTTGCTTACTCAGTGTGCCATGCCCTCTCCCTGAAAACAAGACTTACAACATTGAACGCCGCACGGTTTCCCCTTGCACCGTATCTCGACACAGACGTATCTATGGGTGAGCGGTGGGGGTGGAGGTTCGTGTAATGCGGCGGTGAGTGTGCACGATCAAGCCGCCTCGTGCCATCGGTGCTGCCGCCGCTGCTAACGTGACTTTAAAGTAAACGGTAACGACCTCGTCAGGTGCAGAAAGAGACAGACTCCACCGCGGCAGAGCCGTCAACGATCAGCAAACCAAAACCCAGCACGTGCATTTGGACACAAATTTTAAAAACCACGAATATATTATAAAAGCACGGATGAGTTTGTCGGGAACATATTGCGCGGCGCGTGACTGACCTACACCGTACGCGCGAATGCATTTTTAAAAAATCGCTCAGCTGTGTTACACTCAACGGATTTTGCTCTTCGGAAGTTCAAGCAGAGGGGGCGGATTGAGCGCACAGAGTGCTTGCAGCACGAGAGGCGAGGCCGGGGGTCCCGGCAGGCCGCGGTGTTTCCCGTCCCGTGCCGCCCGGCCACTCACCGGCTGCCGCCCGCATGCGTCGATGTTTTTCCCGCGTGCGTCAAAGTTTTTCCCACGTGCGTCGATGTTTTTCCCACGTGCGTCGATGCCTCCCACGTGCGTTGATGTTTTTCCCGCATGCGTCGATGTTTCCCGCGTGCGTTGATGCAGTTTTTGTCCGAGTCACATTCGAAAAGATTAAAATACGAAGGGCCGTGGCTTCGGAAATATGAGATCATGCCACGGCTTCTAAGCCGGTTAAACGGTCGTGCGGAAAACTTGTGCATCTTCGCCATTAATTCCCAATTGATCTCACGGTCTCCCCACCGCCGCCTGGCTCCGTGCCCAAGTCCCATGCGAGTCTCTCGACGTCTCCTCCTCGAGTCGGCTGTAGGCACCCAGAATGCACCGGGTTCATCTTGGCGTGCCCTTTTGCACCGCCGTGTTGACACCGAGCTCTGACAGCGGAGCTTTGTTTGGCTAGTTTTATATATATTTTTTTAAGTTAAAGAATGTGGCTCGTCTCCCCCGCTCCCCTGCTTTGTCAGTGTAGAGTGCTGCTTGTTTAGGCGGCGGTCGGCCCTCTCTGATATTTAAAGGCGTCGACACGACCACTACCACGGCCACAAGCAGCTTCGACCGCTTCGACAATGAGCGAGTGACATTCCTGAGCGGGCCCATTATGTGTGCCACTCTACGTGTCGTGCAAAATATATATAAACATTTCTCTTGCCGCCTTTAGAAAGGCAAATCCGTGTTGCTGTTGTTATGTGAGTAGCGTGTTTAGATCCTGGCAAACACACACACACTATGGGAGTGGAGTGGGGTGGGAGACCTCTCTCAGGGCTTGACTTCAGCCAGGTCTGTCCAGGTGGGCGAGCCGTAAAATATTTCCCCACCCGGCACACCACATCCAGAATGTCTGTGCTCTCGCTGTGACTACTACTAGTCACGTGCCACCTACTGCCCCAGTCTACCTGCGACCTGGAATCATCTCCAGTGAGACGTTTAGCCCTGGTCACTCTCCGCCTCTGTCCGCTCAGCAGCGAGTCGATGGGCAAGTCTCGCGTGCTGGGGCAAAGTGTGGGACACTCCCACCTGGCCAGCGTTGGAAGAGCAGGCCAAGTGACCCTCTAGAGGGGATGTCGAGCGCGAGTGGAACACCTTCCGCCAGCAGTGGCATGAGAAGGCAGTTGCAGGGCTGCACCTTTAGGCCCCTTTTTGTACCAACCGGTGAACGCCTCGCCCGCACAGGACGCCAGAGCTCTTTAACCCCCACGACGTTTAAATACCTCCCCCCGCCCCCAACATCCCCCCCTCATCCCCACACTCACGCGGCCCTGCCAGCCGCTGTCTCCCCGCTAAGCGACGTGGAGCCGCGCATGTAACTCGGCGCGAACCATTCTGCGTCGTCGGCGCGGGGAAGTCGCGACGGGCCGGTCCACTCTCGTCCCGTGGAGGAAAGAGAATTCCCGTGACTCTCAACTGCGTCCAACGAACCCCCAGAGCAGCGTAACGCCCCTTACGCTTTGTTTACGTCACATCGGGCAATTCGAGCGAGGCGCGTTCACGTCTTGGGTCCTTTTTTGTTTACCGCAATACGAACGAGGCTGCAGACGCGTTGAGAAGTGGCGAGTGGTGATGCGTGCCGGTCGTCAGTGTGTGTGTGCAAGTGGGGGAGCGGTGGTGCAGTGGTCTGCGCGCTGTGCTCCGAATCCGGCGACCTGATTTCGACTCCCGGCTGAAATCATCGGCGAGTCATATAATGAAGTGTTCCTGAGCCTCCACTAGGTTGACTCAGCCTGAAATGAGTTCCCGGCTTGGGCGTGTAAACATCACGGTGTGGTGCTGGCCACCCACCCCTCATGCGTTATGTTGACCTTCATAGATGCCCACTGACAGCACTTCCCCCATCGGTCTGTCGAGGCTATACTGGGGATCTTTGGTGACTTTGTGAGTGCACGTATGCGAGTACATGTGTCCCTTGCATCCCGTGCATTGAAAGTCACGCTCACACATCCAGTATTCGACACGTAGAGTTGCGCGCGCGAGCGTGGATCTTCCACGTGTCACTCTTGTACTTTCCCCAATTACTCACGCACGCCAACTCCGTTCCGTCGCCTGCCCACTCACACACTCGCGAGTCGCACGAGCACCGGCGCCCAAATTCCCGCGTCTGTCCGCCCGCCCGTCCGCACGCGCGTTGCCCGGGGTGCTGTGTTGGCACGGAGTGCGCTCGCGAGTGAGTGAGTGCGTGCGTGGCCGTACCGGTGGCGAGGGGAAGGTTTTTATTTTTAATCGTCTCCTCTGTCCGCGCACAGGGTTCGGCCAAGGCACGCGGCTCGGGCTACGAGACCGGCCTTCGGCAGCGCCCGCCGCGACGTATCCTCTACCAGGCCGGCGAGCCGTTCTACTACCGGCCGCGCAAGCAGGACCTGCTGTGGCTACTCAAGAAGGAGGTAACGCGCGGTGTGCGACATGTGGCGTGGAGGCCGTGCGGTGGGGCGAATCGGCGTCAAGGAAATTGCGACCATAAACGGAATGCCTGGTTCTGTACTTCCACGTACAAACTAAATATAAAACCAACATGGATATTTTACCACGTGAAATATTGTACAACGCTGAGCTATGTAGCCCTTTTTCAGAATTGACCTGGCCACAAATGAAAGATCAACGAAGTGGCTTATGTGGAAATTGACAGCAGCCAAATACTTTAAATGCGTGATGTTGGTTCTAAATGTGGAGGGAAAACCCAGAGGACTTGGAGAAAAATCCACGCGACCACGGGGAGAGAGAGAGACACGCAAAGTCCAAATATACAGCAGGCGTCAAGGTCGGGATCAAATCCACGACTTCCTGCATACCGGGCGAGGTAGTCAACATCTCACGACTGCCACTGGTACACGCACCAACCACGCGTGGGGCGCTCGCCCAGGGAGGAACTGAATTTTCGTATTTCCACTTCGACATTTTCTGTCGTGACTCATCCCTCGCCTGCGCACCCCTTTCTGCCCACACCTTCCCACGGTGCCCAAGAGCGCATTGGGCGGTCTCGATCTCACCCTGGCAACTCTCATATTTTCCGCCGAGCTCGTACTGCGCCCAACAGAGCGGACGTCGTTCAGGGGCAGCCGTGGGCCGCTGTGTTTCTCGCGCTGCGCCATGATTGCAGTGACCTGCACTCGATTCGCGACCACGGCCAACAAATCGGTGGCGAGCGAAAGGTCAACCGGTCCTGTGCTACCCACATCACGAACCCCGCACTCACCGCCACTAACCAGCGTAGGGAAACTATGGTTAAACAACTCGCATGACTGACACGGCGTGGGAAGGTCTTAATCCAGCAGTGGATTGAGCCTGGATGGTGATGATGTTGATGGCGATAATGATTCTGCATTGGGTGAACTTTGGCAATGAATAACAAGTGGAATAAAAATAAGAGCGTAGTTAATATTTAACATAATTTAGTCTAAACAAACGGACATCTCAACATTGTGGCGGACTGCTCTCCGTCAGGTGAACATTCACGTTCACGGTGAGAGAGTCTGAAATGAACTGGAATACAGGGATGGTGTTGGATGGATGCTGTTGGTACAGCGTGGGTGTTGTCCGATTTGTCAGCGATTAAATTACTTCTGTCGTGACGACGTTAACATTCATCAATCCCCGCGTCGTATCGTGTTCCCACAGCGTCGTGTTATAATTAGGGCCCCCCCAATCTGCCACCGAACTTCAAATCACTCTGCCAAGTCAAGGGCCAAGTCAATGGTCGGGTCAAGGGGTCAGGTAACGGGCTGGCAGCCCAGGAGTGGAATGCGTTCCGAGAGGATGGTTCACCGAAAAGATGGAGTGACGAAATTGAGGCAAAGCAGTGGATCGGACTGCGCAGGCCTAAGCCTTCGCTGAACGGGTCCATGCTATTGAAGACGGCCGCCGCTGTGCGCTCTCCAGAGTTCGATTCCCCAGTCCGGAATGCCGTCGATTTCGTGAGAAGTGGGACTGCAGTGGGGGGGGGGGATGAAGCCGGGGAGCTGTGGGAGTGCTAGAAATAACGGAGAGGTTTGTGGGTGTCTCAAGACTGAGATCTGTTTTGAATCCGAACTCAGTGGTGAGTAGTCTCCACCCCCCGTTATAGAGCCAGGCTTAAATTATAACCACACCCAGCGCGAGCGCTGTCAGGATCAAACTTGACTTTGTGTGACGTCCCGTGAGAGATTCAGATGCAGTCCATGTAAACTTTCATCACGTGTTAACGTTACAGCCTGCAATGATTAAACTAAGTAATGTGCGTAGGCTCTCGTTAATGTGCAATCTGTCGATGATTCAGTGCTGCTGTGGCGTTCGACGCCATAAGTTCCAAATTTAATTTGACCGAGTGTATGGCTCCGGCTTTAGGATCACCGCAGAGCTGTGATGCGCTAAGCGATTATTAGAAAGTGCGCGAACGAGCTGCGAGCTCGGTATTTATACAGAGTCTGAATGGGAGATAAAATCACACTGAGAGCATGATCCATAACTATAATTGGGTGGGAAAAGGAAACGGCAATTGCGTGTTTCTTTTTTTCTTTTCTACAATCCCTCTCGCTCTTTGGGTCAGCGTCCTGGAAAATATTTCCACACCGGGCACACAACATCCAGTATACCCCTCTAACTAGGGCTGTGGCGACCATTCCTCTGCATACTCCAGCAGTCTAACAGCGACTTGGGAAATATTTCCAACAACCCGGAAAATATTGATAAGAAAATTTATAAATCAACCACAAACCTCACCCTCCGTGAGCCGCACGTGACATTGCCAAGCACAATGCGTGCCCCCCTCCCGTGCCCCCCTCCCGTGCCCCCCTCCCGTGCCCCCCTCCCGTGCCCCCCTCCCATGCTCCGCTCTCGTGGCACGGCCCGGCAGGAAGTGGCCCCGCGGCCCAGCCGAGCGGGCTGCCAGCATCCGGCCTGTTCAGTGCGGCCGACGATTGGGATCAAGGCCGCGCGATAGCGTTTGCCCCGGCAGTTGTTGATTGATGCGCGGACGTCGTGATGCGTGGCCGCTGCACGAGGGTTGGGGGTCGCACGTGGTCTCGTGCGTTTGTCCCTCCGCAGTTTAGTTTCGGTCGTAGATTTTCAGCCGCGTCTGTCTGGGGAAATATTGCCGCACCCGACACACCACATGCAGGATACCTTCCGCTCCGGTAACATGCCTACTACTCCCCTCAGCGAATCGGAAAATATTCAGCGAGGAACTAAGCCGGGCTTGACTGTAACCAACAACCTTACATGAGCTGCCGTTGCCGCGTGCGTTTGCACTCGCGTGCGTGCGTCCTTCCAACCCAGCCCCCTCCTCCGCCCTCTGGCCCAGCCACCACAGCCTCCCTGGCACTCCCAGCAGATGCCATTTCTGGCCGTCCGCCACCTTTGTTGCGTGAAAGATTTTCCACTGCGGCCTGCTGCCCGGGCCATGCTCGCCGCTCGCGATGGCCCGGGCAGCGGCGTCCATCGCGTTCCAGCAGCGTCCCTTGCGTCCCGTTCCCATTGCGAAGGAGGGGGGGGGGAGCTAGGGGCTAGGGGCGGGCGGTTGCGTCGATTTCTGGTGACTTTATTTAAACTCTCTCAAATCAAGCTCCACCTGCATTTGTCGTACGGCCGACCAGATCAGTTCAACTCGTTAGAAGGTCACTGTGCTCTTGAGTGCTGGATGGTAATATCGGTTCGGTTCTCCACCCTTCACCAGGTTTGCGATCAATAAAAACCCTAGCAGGTGAGAACTTCCGTTGGTTATTTTTAAGGGTACAAAAACGTAGACATCTGTAATTTCCTGGTCAAATGCCTATTTGTTACCTAATGGGCATACTTCCTCCAAAATTAACCGTTAATGAGCACTGCTAGTTAACACTTTTTTTTTTACCCTCGTTCAGTGCGAGCCCCTGCGGATCGCCACTGGTACAACGCTCGCCACAGTGGTTCGGGAGTTTGTGATCCAACAGAATTGGCGGAAACTAAAATATTTGAACTCTGCATAGGGAAAAATGTTTATCTCGCAAAGGGTGTTAAAACTGGCAAACCACGTTCCCCACGTATCGCTTATTCTTCGAGTCGTTTTCTCCGCTCCAGTCCCCCTATTATCATCATCATCACCATCAGCCATGGTCAATCTACTGCTGGATGATTGCCTCCCCAAGCCGCAGCCACCTCTCACGATCCTGCAATGTAACGATCACCTGGCACTTCCACACGAGCCAATTCCCAGCACTTCCGATTAGCTAGGTTGGCTGAGTACGGTGCGAAATAATTTCAACATGCATCGCCCTATCTGCCCAGTGGATGTCCTCTGCGTAATTATTTGTTTTCTGCATTACAAAAAAAAACATCATTTAGTTAAAAGCCAAGCGGAATTTTCAATTTGATCAATTAAACTATGCAGCGTTCTTCACGCCGCTGAAAACCTCATCTCGGTTCACTTGTAATCGAGGATGCTTTTATAATTCACTCGGCAGAGTGTAAATGATGCGTAAATATTTACCGAAGAGGCTCCACGGCAGCCGTGTGCGTGCCACGCACACTACACCGGGACCGTCGCAAATAGAATATCGCTGTCGGGACGTTGTCAGCCCGGACCTGCCCACCTTGTCAGAGCGGGAGAGAAGAATGTTGCCAAGTGCCAGTGTCATGAATTTTGGGCATCAATTACGCCCGAACAAATTGGGAACGTTTCAGTTATTTGCCATCCTGAACGGGAATGCAATTGCCCATCGCAGAGCTTCCTGCGCTGACATAAATCAGGCGTAATCTCAAACACAGAGACTTCTCCCCTCCGCCCCAGTGCCTTATTGCTGGAGATTATTACAGCATTAGCATTTTGCAGCATACAGCATTCATCATCTATCTCATTTATTAATCAGTTGTGCAGTTTGTAAGAAGTGCAAAGGAAAGATATTGCCGTAGCATCGCAGGGTTAGGTATTATCATCATGGTGTACAGCAGTGTTGTATCCTGTGACCTCTGCCAGTGGCGTAGCGTGGTTGACCTGGGCCCAGGCGGTGCCGTCTTCCCAGTAAACGTGGAACGTTGGGGCAACGTTGGTCCAGTGATTACAACCACGGTTACTGTGTTGGTGACGGCCTGCGGTGCTGCTGGGTGACTGCGAAAGTCGAACCGGCGACATGGAGTGCTCGAGCAGTGGTTCACAACCTCACCGGAAATCCTCAACGAACTTTCTTCGGACCTGCCATGCAGATAATAAATGTATATACACAGTGTCGAGTGTAATGTGGAAAATCATATTCGCAACGGTTCTGCAGCCCACTTCCCACGGCCTCGCAGAACCAGCAGTGGTCCGCGGACTGCAGTTTGGCAACCGCTGTGCGAGGGTGATGTGTTTTATTATGATTAGTTGTGTAATAGACATTAGTACTGTACGTAGTAGTGTAGCTGTGTCAGTCTTACGGGAAGAATTAGAGGCCATTTTCTC